GGTGTGGAACGAATACAACGCGATTGCCCTCGAAAAATCCCTAAAGCTGATCCACCTACAGACCTACGCCCTCGGACTTGTACCTCTCTTGATCAGGATGCTTAGGTCTAGTTTGATTCTTTACATCTCACTTACTCTACAGGTAATATAGCCCTTACCCAAATCTCACATATTTGAGACGTTGGAGATAAAAATCTACGGTTAGAAACGAAAATTACGAAGTCGAACCTCGAGGAAACTACTCCTACCTCAAATAAATATTGATATTGAACAATCTTTCCTTCAAAATACTTATAACTAGCGTTTCTAACACGTTTTTAGGAACATTCGATGACATCCTTGCTTGAACTGGTCTCATAGCATGCGCAAACACATCTACGCCCTACTCAGATATCATAGGCTCCCAAAACGCGTAATTCTTATTGAAGTTTTGGTTTTGTATCCTTTCATCATCGTCTTGAAGTTTTATTATATATTTCTCCGTAACTACATGTGCATCATTAGTTTTTAATTGAAGTAGAAAGTATACTCAATGAACTTAACGATACTGCCGAACTATGGTTGGATGCAAGGGATGCTCACTACTATCCCAAAAAGTGATCGCGTGAACAACACAAATTTCTTCCCTATTTTGTGTATTCTTGGATTTATAGAGCTTGTAAACCATCAACCATTATTGAAAGCACAATACACAATGAACGCCAACCTTATATTGTTTGCTTCTAGTCAGTTTTTCATCAGCTAATTACTTTCACATACACTTTACAGTATTACCGTTATTTTTACGACATTAACCATCGTCTTGTTCATAATTATTGTATTCCTGCCGTTTTCCTCCACCTCAACAAATATTAGTCTGCCGTTATACTTTCCCAAATGCTGTAAATGCTTTGAAACCCACGCTTTATACCTAAGTAATTTAAAAACATTAAATCGACGCCTTACACACAGTCCATAATTTGAAAACATTTAGTTAGCCCGTAACATGGTACTTGTGAAGTATCGTCATCTGATAGGATACAAAACATATGACACAGGATAAGACATAAAGGTAGTAGCAATTTTTTCACGTCACAATATGCTACAGGGGGCATCTACTTTAAGGGCAAGGCAGAAATGCTATGGAAGTTTCAGTGCTTACTGTAGTAAGCTAATCAGTTAGGTTGATACGCAATATAATAGGAATAGGGGGTAGACTTTGGTACATAGGAATGTGAATAATGTTATGAATAATCGTGATAAATAACAGGCGCAAGACATTCTCAAAGGAAGAATAAACAATTTGTAACATAGATCAATAGATAAGATATTATAAAAGCAAGGTTATTAAATGGATAAGGGAAATGAGAATTTTTGAAAGAATATTCATGTAGATAAACCAGCACGGTTGGCGTTGGTACCGCACTATGAGTCAACGCTAGTTATAATCCTTTTAAAAATGGCACATTGTAGGAACTACAACCTTGGTGAACACCCATCCACTCCAAATTCCACCTTTACGTGCTACAGTCTTGGCGGTGAAAAGAAGAAAGGGAAAACAAGCGCCAGAACGAGTAACAAAATACACTTGATAAGCCTAGACATTTTGATATTTTTGTAATGGAAGAGTTCAAATTATGTTTATTAGCAGGCAGAAAACAAACTGATCAATAGAGGAACTTCAGATAAATCATATAAACCAAACGAAGCGTGTTCAGAATTTTAGGGGGAAAACAGGTCTTCGTTAACGAAAGGTTAAAGAACAAATTTGGATATATGTTTATTGATTCCGAAAAACTAAAAGTAACTTAAACTGTCCGAATCACCGTAGCCTTTATTTATTTATTGCTCGTTTTTATTGTTGTTATCGAGTGACAGCTCTCAGGTGTGTGTTTTGGTGTTTGAAAATGCATGTGATAGGTTGACCTGGGAGAATAGCGAAACCATTAAAAGGTAGAAAACGTGGATCTAAGAAGCAGCAAGTATAGAAGAAAAACTACAGTATCACTGAATAACTTTCGAAATATTGATCATAAAGGCTCGAAGACAACTAAAATGTTCTGCCACACAAACGTAGGTGAATTGAAATCCCCACTCTCAGCATCAATGTTTGCTGGTTGGTAACTCTTCCCTCCCTCCTATCTAAAAGTTAACCCAAAGGAGTTTTGTATCAAAAAAGAAGGGAGAGTGAAGTCACTGACCAGCAATCATTGATGTCGAGGGAGATAGCTTCAATCCACCCATATTTGTGGGGTAGAACTTCTCGTTTGTTTGAAGCTTTTTATGATTGAGAATGAGACAATCCGTCAGTTATTTTTAATTTTTTTTCTATACCCGCTACCCAGACTTATCTTTCCACTTTTATGCCGACTTCGCTATTCGAGTAGTATAACATAAACCGACGACAACCCAGGCCCTAGCGTTACGGCCTAGGTTAATACGGAAAAAATAATGAGCAATAAAAGATATAGTTATTAGTGTCCCTAAACACTGCTTTTTATCACCTCATTTTCGATTTTACTGAAAAGTCTGTCTGATTCTAGTTACAACTTTCCCCTCATCATTCGAACCCGTTACACATTGTTACACAACACGATTAACTGTCTTTTATAACTGTATTTCCCTATCTGAAGACTTCTGCGACAACTCATTCTAATAATAACAGATTTTACGAAGTTTATCCACTTTTTAACCACACCTACGTCTCTTCCTCTACAAACGGTTAAGCGTTGGTGTTTATTTGTATCCAAGTGCCTTGGTATTTCTTTGTATCTCCATTCTTCAGCATCACATTCGCAAAACAGTCATAGAACTTCCCATTGCACATGGAACGCAAGCACAATGTACGTGTTTGACAAGGCGATAGTTTATATCAGAAACTTTTCAATCATCACTCTATAACAATTGTGAATTTCTCAAACAGTCGTATTGAATAACATTTCAGCAGTACCATGATTCTAACAAGAGGATGGGAAGTCTGGAATAGATATGCTATAACCAGTTTGTATGGGGTGATATTTCTGAACAGATTCTAAAAAAGATGAACAGTTAATACGGCAAAAGCACACAAAATTATCTGCTAACTTCCTGCGTGGATAATGTCACCTATTTTCGTTGGGTTCATTTATTTATTAACCCCTCATCGGCAATAACCCATTAGTAAACCGATGTTGTAAATTACTGACCATGCCTGTAAAGTGGAGATTACACGTACTAACATGTGTTTGGTAGATAACATTTGGTCGAAAACATATTGATAACGTCAAAGCATTATAGATAAAGTAATTGCTCACTTCCTTATTTTGCGTAGCCACTATATTCCTTGTTATCCTTCATTAAATGTTCACTGTATTGTTCGCTTGAACATCATAACCCCACGCTCCAACCGTTATTTTCCGAGATCTGAATATGAACGTACTATAACAACAGCCTGGATTCCTTCAAACAGATAAGAGGAGTGGTTATCAGCAATAAATGCTAATTAAGTCAAAAACATATATATTCAATAATTCTAACTATTACCTTATATGAACTCCTAAATCTACAGATAACAGCTGCGATTAGTGTGTGTAGCCAGAAGTGTCACACATCATGTTTAAGAAAACCATTCAAGGCTGAGCACCATAAAAAACGTTAAGAGACTAATTCAATCGCATGATGTACTCGTAAGTCATCTTTAGTTCTAGCAGACTATGGACCAACCCGTCGTATATCGTCCTTAAAAAGAACGAAAAAAACGAGTGTCCTGACAGAATTTTATGCGCTCGTGATCGGCGATGTGTCCATGAATCTCAACTTTAGTTATTTATCTAACACCTAACTTTAACGATAAAGCATTTTATACGCTATAATTGGCCCCTTGAATTTCTCAGGAATACTATTATTACACAAGGTATATATCATCTGGAAAACAAGGATGCAGCTATTTTGGATAACCTGCGAACAGAATCTGTTAAGAAGCCTTAGACTTACAATAGACTGGCTAATTTCTACTAACGATACACAAAAAATGAGCGTCAATCACGAGATCATTAACTTCGAGAGAGCGCAAAAGGATATCAAATAGGCTACGTAAAGAAGACATTCGACAAAGTGAACAACCATATCCAGAAGTCAACCATGATTCGGCTCTACAACAGTGATCACTCATTATCATCTCTGTAGAAGCATCCGACGTAAACCTAAAGTTCGCAGTGTGATCATTAGACATGATCTGGAGAATAATTCCGCATCTTGGTTTAGGTAAATCGAAATTCAATACTGCTCCATAAGTTATGAATAATGATGGAAAAATCCTCACAAAATGATGACCAGGAATGGTGTTAAATATATAAACGCATGTATAAACTAAGTTGAACATACATGAACTATGTTTTCTGCACTGAGTACAGTTTTTTCGAAATCAGAAAGCTTGTAGGATCAACTATAGAACAAAAAAATAATCAAAATAGGGAGTTTTTAATTCATAATCAGTAAAATGATACCTAGCGACTCAGGAATAACCTGCTGTAAGGTAAAAATATCAATTGTCAAATGGTCAGAAAGCGAGATGACTGTATATAACAATGAACATACCTAGCGATTGTAATCTAAAATATTTATCCCACCAAAGTTAGGTTACGCCAATTAAACCAAATGAAGTCAGCCAAGGATAAGGTCGCTCAATACAGAAGATTCCAGGAGCCAAAATGTTGTTATAAAAAGAATGTAGGAAAACTATACGTCTTTTGGGTTTTAAGAAACTAAGTCTACATACTCGAGAACGATGAACATTTTGGATATAGCTTTATGACGAAGTGATCTTTATGAGTGACTTGATCAGATCAGAAATTATCTATCCATACTCCTCAATCACAAAATCTACTACATTCAAAACACTTGCATAAAATGCTATTGAAATTTTTATGTTCACAGTGGGATTTTATGAAAACTTGTTTGTTATTTTCACAAATACAGTTACCACGACTTCAAGGTCGGTGGGAATACAAATCCACATAATGTTTGGTACAAACTAATATAAAATGGTAAGTCATCGAACATAAACCACAAATCAAATCTCAGCCTTATTTAATCAAGAAAATTAGTTCACACTTTTTATCTAGTAATTTATAAGTTTGATCTTAAAACTATCACGAAGTTATGTAAACAGAGTTCTACTACAGTTTTTTTTGAAAGTGAACTTGATTTGTTATTTTGAGGGGCACTACAAACATCATAACTGTTTTAATAACATTGGCAGGTGAGAACCCTGGTCGTATAACATAATCCTGAGGGATGGTCCCCATATTTGGTCGACACTGCCTACTGAATATATTACTTGGAATTATTTATGCCATGTTTAAGAGGCAGTCGTAGTACATGAACATAGTAAAAATTTAGAACAAAATACTTTGTTCTTAGATGATAGTACAATACCAAACAGTCTTCAGAAACATAAATATCCTCAATTTTCATGGCAAAACTTTCAGCTAGTTAAATGAATGAAGTCCAGGTCCTCAGGTTAAATACTAGAGATTGAAATTAAAAGATTTGAATAAGATTTATTATTAACTAAACACGCTAGATTCCTCCTAATAATTTTTGTTCCTGGTGAGCCAAATACACATGACACGGTAAATTGGTCGATAACAATTAAACTTGAACTGTCTTCTTTAAACAAACGTATTTGCGAAAACTTTCATCGACAATCGTTGAGAACGAATAACTATAGCAGTCAATTATTGTACTGTTTCACAACCTTTTACAATAAATTGAGTACTGTCTAATTAAAATTATTGATAAGGACTGAACTTTCGTGATGTTAAAGTATTCTCGTTCAGAAAATGTTTTAAACGATACGATTTATGTGTCACCATAAGGCTCAGCAAAGAGTTGCTTTCAGACCTAATAAATGAGGAAAAGGGACTAAATTTAATCATTCTTTCCGTTCAATTTCAAAAGTGTTTACAGAACACTACATCACATCTGTAAATTGAATTAGAATGACATGGACACTGTTGACTTATTTCATGATAAGTCTTCAATTACCAGCTTCTTTTAAACACATGGTCAGAGCCATGTTAAATCGTGATTAGAGAATAGAATAAGATGGTTGTAACTGCATGATTATTGTATGCAGCCTTAAACGCTACCCAGATCATGTAAATAACAACAATACACTATGAATTTCAGTTACATTTCTCGAGTTGATTTAAACTAAATAGTTAAATAATAGGACACAATGACTGTGTACGAGTGAATTTATAAGATAGTCTGTTGTTAGAGAACTGAAAACACTAACAATCATCTAGACTTTTGACATAGGACAGAACTAAAATTTATAAGTTGACTTATCTAATATTTGAGAATTCGTGTCACTTATAGAAGAAAAGCATCACGTTTATTTAGTTGAGAGTTAAGCGAGTAAGTAAAGCTTGATCATGCATTTAAAAAGTCAGACGTTGACTAACCACAAACCTGGTTAAAAATTGATTTCAGCCAAAAGCGAAAGGAAAACAAAAACTGAAGAAAGGAACTAAGAGAAAATCTGAGAAGGGCAAACGCAAAGGTCGTTCATCTCGGCAGAAAAAGCCTAAACGTGAAATTGATATTATGAGCCTATGTGCCATGGAAAACTTATACTACATTGCTCACAATGCACCAAGTGCTTTGATGTATCGTGGTTTTTGTTGGTCAAAGTTAAAACCAAAAGGAGGTAAGAGTAGGCGGAAAGGGAGAAAGAAGAGAAAAAAATAACTATCTTGACGTACCATTAAACATCATACAAGATGCTTCCACTGAGATATTATCCTTTATTTATTTACTTATTGATTTATGTTCACAGATTATTTCTGTTGTTTATGACGTTTACTTCATAGCTTTTTTCATAGTATGTGCAAATAAAGTTGTTACTAAACCTATTTATGCTTTTTGACAGTTGCAAAAAATCCAGATAAATGCATTCAAACTTACAAACTTGAATATCATGAAGTACTAATATTTTTACAACCAAAAACGTGCAAATAGCTATACTAATAATCACGAAAAGTTTAAAATGGGTGTCGACTTCAAAAAGATAGAAATAATCCAAATATTGCCTTATGAATCACCCAGTTAAATGATATAAAACTCTAGACCGAATAATAAATGTCACTAGAGTAAGTGATATGTAACTAGATCCTATTCACTATTTTGACAAAAGTGATCATGGCGTATTTCACTTCTTAAGTGACAGGAAGGTGAATTACAGACCAAGCGTATGTGGGTTTTTCAAAGTGTACTATTTAATTAGTTCAGTTGTACGAAACAAATCTGTTGATTTCCGTTGACAAATCGAAGGCTACATAATTGCTTTTTCACACATGACAGATGAATAAGTGAAATATGTAACATAACACAGCAGTGGACTTCACTAATTTCTCTATTCTTAGTTCACAGTATTCCGCATAGATGAGTAATATCAATGAGTCAAACTGGAACTCACTCTGTATCACACAATAATTTAATATGAATTTCCAGAACCCAAAAATCAATACAATGAGGATATCAGCACTTATTCCCTAAAAATCCGCTGTTAATGAAATGAAACAAAAGTTTGTAAAATAGTTAGACTGAATCAAGATATCAAAAATGTAAAACGAGAAGCTTTAAAAAAGAACAGGTAAAATGAGGTAAAGCTAAAAATGATTTATTCAGAAATCTAGTGTAAAACCCTTATGTCATAATCTTCCTGATGGTTTTCTACAATAGATAATCAAATTACTTAGTATTCAGCAGTGATAGGTTAATCCAAATTCCCGTCTAACATTTAGTCGAAAACTGGAAGTCGACCCAACTACAGAATAAATTATACAATAAGGAAACGATGACAGTTTTAATATTTTAATGAGTAGAAAACTGAAGTTCTGACATTTTATAGGTCGCCTGTTCTGTCATAGCTTTCCTGTAGGGGAATCATTTGATTCGTACATTAATTGATTGTTGATACGACTAGAGAGCCTCAATTCTATTGAGACTTTGTCCTTTTAAGAAGAAACTACGTATTCTTCAATCTTTGTGTGAACAGCTAGTTTGTTCTTACTGTATTGCTGAAAATTGCAACCATCAGAACCAGTCCTCACAGCATAAAGTTCAAAGCTACCTAGTGTGAAGTGTACATGTCACTCAGTATATTATCGTTTGACCACAAGTCATTGTACTACTCTACTAATATTCTGTTAAACTGAATGTCTAAAGTCCATATACTTCATTGATTTACGTCTGAAAACGTAAATGAAGGCTAACTTCAACAATACGAGTGAAAGAAAATATTATTATTGTTTTGCTAACAAATGAAATGAAAAATTCACACTGTAGACCAATTCAATCGCCAAATAACTAAAGACAAGGGCAATGTGAAGACAACATTTTAATTTAATAACTGAAAATAGATTAATTTACAAAATATGAATACAATAAGAAACTTATTAGTTATACATAAGTTTTGAGAGGTACTAGAGATCCTATCAAAGATTTATGTTGGTATCGATTTTTGTGGAAGATGAAGTCCAAATGGAGAAGCGATTAAACTTAACCACATAATCATGTATTTCACCGGATCGTTAAGTTGAGTAGGTTGTGAATAAAATACTTCCCTCATGAGGTCTGCAGTTTTACAAGGATGAAACTCGTAAAACGGGATTCCAAGGTGCGGATGTTCGATTTCACTAAGGGCATGTAGGGGTAGTGGTACTTCAGAAAGAGGAAACACAGATGAACGGAAATTTTCACTCCATAATTTGTCATGATGTAATAAACGGCCACTTTTTGTCTGAAAACGCATTAAAAGAACAGGTACTTGATAGCTATGGCTAAAAACTATACGATACTCTGCTAAAATCTCATCCGATAATAAAGATTCACTTGTTAATAAACGGCTGGTATTTGATTCGCCAAGCAGTATTGGCTTTCTGTAGACCATTTCCAATTCGTCAGGATATCCGACAAACTCATCAATAAACCACTCACCACCACTGTCACAATCACAGATCAAGTTATTTTTTAAGATTTGAATAGCATCTTTATATGCTATTAATGTGAGTTGACCATTTTGATGATTCCTAAAAAACAAGGAACATGACAATTGATGATTAACTTCTCTGACTAAAAGACATGGGTGGAAAAACGGAACTTTGCCGCACTTCGCAAATGGAATTAACTAGTATAAGGAATTGTAGAATCCACAAGAACGAGAAATATAGGTGTCAAAAAAGAACAGGTTTATTAGCATCATTGTTAATAATTTCGAAGAATGTTTTGCACAGCTTTTAACTAGTGGCTTCTAATTTTTCGGCAACAATACGACTGATTGACATATTGCAAATGAAGTAGTGTATGGTTCTCAGATTTTATTAAGATGTTCTGTGATTTTATATTCTTATTTATTTCATTTATTTATTTGATGCATAAATATTGGTACAAAGGGGCACCAGATATATATGCGCCACACAAATCTCATTTGATTTGTGTGAGGGTTGTGATACTACCCAGGTTCCCAAACCGAAGAAGGTGGTTTTCTTAGGGGACCATACCCGGCGCCTTTTACCTAAAGGTTTGATCCACAAGGTAATGGAGTATCGTAAGGAGATGCAGTCCCATGGTAGCCAGTGACCAACAATTGATTCATACGCCATTAGTTCCCTCAGGATACTGGAGCCCATGGGCACCATTAGTTTGGAATCAGGGTTTTCCAATTCCCCTAGGTGAACTTTCCATGTCCACCGACCCGGATAAAGCTCCGGACATTCGGTTTTGGTCCTCTCAATTTCGTAAACAACAGTAATGCTACGAGAAGGCAGTGAGTAGGACTTCCCTAGCAGAGGCTGTATACACGTGGCCGTGTGAGAGCATTTCGAAAGGAAGGGTGGCCTCTACCCACTTTTGGTCGTACCAGGGCATTTGGGCGCGCGTCTGAGGGAATGATTATATATATATATATAATTTTACGATGTGGGAGACGATTTAATTGTTAGTCTATTAAAACAGCGACACATGGGTTAGGAGATTTCCCATACACGAGGCTTCCGGACGTTGTCGTTAGGACCTCAATAGAATCTAGTTATTATGAGCAAGTCGTTTCCCGGAACCGCAATAAAACACTCGCACCATATCACTGGCGGCTTGTTAACACAGTCGACTGTTACCTATACTTTTTGGTAGTATAAGAACACTGAAATTTAACTTATCTTAATGTGTGGACCATATGATAAGATGACATATTTGTGGGCATTGAAACCTAGGATTAGTTGGAGACACTATAGTACGATAAGACACCTATTTACTCAAAGAACAGTGGGACTTATGTATTAACCAACAAAATCAGCTACCATTTATTCACCTAATAATACTATGGAAATGGTTTTGTAAGCCCTTATATATGCGCTCCAAAAATGTTAGTTGGTACTGTTGTCGGGTCGATGAAAATGAAGGTTGGCAAAGGACAAATAATTGAAGAAGCAGTCATTAGGAGCTAATGCGGGACTACACATCTCAAACTTACTTTTCCTGTTATTTAGCTATTAGCAAAGTAGTACTAAGAATTGTTTTCAGCCGCCTTAATTTAGTCACCTTTATATCAGAACACTTCCCTAAAAACATTCAGATGTCCAGATAAGTTAAGACTAGATTTTTATTGATTCTATATGACAAGTCTAAAAACTGTGACCAGGTAAATAGTATGTAGTAAGTTTAATTAGGAATAGGTATTCTATTTAATGAAGTTATTTTAAGAACTTCAAGCCGAGAAATCGAAAATGATAATATTGGACACTAAGTAATTATTTTGCACCGTACTGAAGCAGCTGGTTTCAAAGAAATAGCAAATTTACCATGATAACTAGTTTGATTACTACATTAAAATGATTTAAGATTGACACTAAAATAAACATGAGCAGGAATTTTTCAGGCCAAACTAAAAAACGGAGAACGAATGTCCGCAATAGGCAATCAACACGGAGGTAGAAGACAGTGAAGGATTGAAAGAGAGTATATATTAGAAAAGGTAAAAGATAGGTAGGACGTCGAAACGGAAAAATGAGTTTCAGCACATAAATATGACTTACTCGAGAAGTCTAACGATATAGGTATTTTGAACTACATCATCACTCATACTCTTGCAAGAAGTTCTAGAGATATTCTTTTACTTCTTACCGAAAATGTCTGCAGAACCTAGTGTATGATAACAAATCAATACAAATCCGAATTTTCAATACAAATGTCAAGACAGTTCTATTGCATGGGGCGGAGAAGTGGAGAACTACGAAAGCCATCATCCAGAAGATACAAGTGTTTATTAACAGTTGTCTACGCAAGATACTTCGGATTCGATGGCCAGACACTATCAGCAACAAGTTACTGTGGGAGACAACAAACCAGATTCCAGCGGAGGAAGAAATCAGGAGAAAGCGCTGGAAGTGGATTGGGCACACGCTGAGGAAATCAGCTAATTGCGTCACAAGACAAGCCCTCACATGGAGTCCTGAAGGTCAAAGGAGAAGAGGAAGACCAAAGAACACATTACGCCGAGAAATAGAGACAGACATGAGTAGAATGAACAAAAACTGGATAGAACTAGAAAAGAAGGCCCAGGACAGAGTGGGTTGGAGAAAGCTGGTCGGCGGCCTATGCTTCATTGGGAGTAACAGGCGTAAGTCAATAAGTAAGTAAGAACATGAACAGAGAAAATCGAGGCACAAGTTGAATACACAGAAGCGAACAAACGAGTGAAGAAGAGCATTAGAGCTGACAAGCAGAAATATGTGGAAGACTTGGCAATGACAGTGGAAAAAGCTGCAACAGAAAGAATTATGAGACAACTAAATGACACGACGAAGAAAGTGATAGGGAAGTATAGTAAACCAGAGTGACCAGTCAAGTACAAAGAAGGCAAAACAATCACCGAAATTCGACAACAGAGGAACGAGTTGGTATAGCTATGGTAAGGAGTTACATCTAACGAATTCGCTTTAAAATTAGACAAATTAGTAACTACATTTAACCCACAAAACTAGTATTTGAAGGTATGGCATTTCCGCCATTTTTTACGAAAAGCTTACCATGCTCAAGAGTAGGACGGGTCTAATTGTAAACACGGGTGGGGATTGAACAATGTGTTATAGGGTGCATTAAAAAAATCCACTCGTTCAGCAGCATGTGCCACACTGGGTGTGGGGGTAATGATAATACACGGTTGGTTCGACAGAATTAGGTGAAGTGGAGTGTGGAATCTACTACTTTTTCTCAGCTTCCCCACTAGTCACAAGTGAGGAGAATGGAACAAATATACACTAAAAGTATGAAGTAGTTAGACATATTGTTTAAAGGGATGCTACGTTTTACCTTCGAAGTAAGATTCAAAACAATGTTCCTTCGAATACTGATAAAGCTGAGCTATAAGTGCAAGCTAAATACAGACGTGTACGTCGTTTCAAAGTCATAAAGCACATAACCTGTCATCTACCGGTGGTGGAGTCGAAGGTTTATGCAAGGATTTGCTACCGGTTGACCATATTACAAATATTTCAATCCAGGAAGACAGCTTAGACTACTTTAGTACTGAAACCATCACTAGCTACCTGAGGATAGCTTCTGGGACTACTGTTGCTGTTTTGAACTGCCATACAGCTTAGAGATCAGGGTAACATTTAGTATTATGGTTGAGGATTAGAACTTTGTATGAGGATGGAGAATTAAGGATTTGTAGTTGTGATTACAATTAGATTTTAGGATGAGGATATGGTTAAGATTCGAGTCGACGATTGAGTTAAATGCTGTTTAGATCATAAACACTACATATATGTTCTAAACTTAGTTCCAACCTTAAATCCTGAACTCTAGATGTCCAGGGTCAGTTGTTATCTTAAATCATAACGCTAAGTCCTGATTCTATAGCCTGAATCATGGTCTCAGCATCATATGCATTTCGTCAATGTTTGATGTTTAGTGACCGACTAAATAGATAAAGTAATTTTCAGGGTTATTAGAGGGGATTTCAGTATTTGAGGAAATTTAATTTTATTAAATATTGATTTTACCCAGACACAATTGTATGATCCTAGAATTTATTCTCACGGAAGGACTGCTGTGGTAAATGAAGGTATTCCTATATCGATGATACGAAGATTTTTTCCAGAGTAGTTGGTCAGCAGAGTGGTGCAAATTCGCACCATGTTGGGTAGATCTAAGCTTCTGCCTACGAAGAATATTATGTTTCGTTGGATAAAACATGAGTTAGTTTTTTAAACTTGACCAATCATGAATTACAACTACTATGACTCTTACATTTGAAGTGTAATATTTCAGTATGCTCAAGACTTTAAAATTCTGGCCATGACCTTGAAGTCATAAAAGCCTCTGCGGACACTCCGATATCTAGAACCTTTTAAACAACTTTAGTCGCGTTCACATGGCAGCTTCCCGCTGATCTGTGCATAATTGGCAAGTTATGTTCACGATAACCTAGCAATGGTTCACTTGTCAATTCAAATTTGAAATTTTTTCCAGTTGAGATATCTGGTTTTCATGTAAGTTCTTCCCGAAATAACAAGATTAATAGATCCAGCAGCTATCACGTCACAGGTCAGGAAACTGATTGACTGCGGTGTTTAATTGTAAAATTAGAGTGTTGTGGGTGGAAAGAGGACATAGATCCAGATAAATAATTGAATTATTAAGGTAAAAATGGTTCATATAGAAAATTGGATAAACGTTAGGTAAATGGCGATGATGATACGCGAAGTTGGCACAACGTGTTGTTACAAATAAGGATAATAATGGATTTATTGCGATACATGAAGTTTGGATTATAAACAAGCTTAAAAATGACTAACTGACCGTTCCTAATTAATCACTATTATAATCTGAAGGAATAAACCTCATGTTGGTACAAGGTTATGAAGTTTACTTTTGTGGACGTCCACTAAATGATTATAGTCGTCTCAGATGAGGGAGTATCTTTACATGAATGTAGCTGTAGATAAATCCCCAAAGTAAACAGTTTTTTAAGTCTTCGACATATTATTTTGCCCTTGTTAGTTACAAACAACACACCTAACTGAGGGCGCTCGGCCACGCATCCGCACCAGAACACGATTAGGTACTCCGTGCTACGCATCTCTTACAGCAGTTATACAGTTTGGATTGAACGCCTCTCAAGATATCGGTAACCTTCCGAATATAGTCTCAACTACAGAGGCATCACACTACACACTTCATTCCCATGTCCATTTGAGAAGATATAAAAATAACAATTTATTCTCAAATAACAGTTTGTTACATGAGGCATGCCGGTTTATAGGCAAGATCAAATTGTTACACAGGTTGAAATTTTCACTGTAGAAAATTACTCAGCTGGGTTGACATTTTATAAGATATGAATGTGAATGGATTTCGTAAGAAACATATCAATATCACACTTGGCGCGCTTTATGGAGGTAGCGTTGCAACATACAGCTGATGGTCGAGAATAGATACATGCGAAGTCGGGGGCTTTTAGAAGTTTCGAACTTATATTCTTCCGGAATATCTGAGGCTTTAATAACGGTGTAGGACGAAGTCACCCGTGCCATATCTGTTTTCGGTGGAGTATCTGCAGGAGGCTGAAAAAGGTGTAAGAAAAAGGAAGGACGAAAAGCAGAGCACACAATATTCATGGAGGAATAATTATGGTATAACCATTTAGTCTATTTGTCTGTTACTGAAGTGCTTATTAAGCAAGAGCATACTAATGTTTTAAAGAAAATAAGTGTTTACAAGGTATGAGTGGATAAGGAACGATATAAATGCATGTGGCCCAGAAAGAACTTTGAAAGTATATGGTTATGTGTAGTTATAAAATATAGTGCTGAAAACAGAATTCTGATGCACATAGCTGTCTCCCTTCTTTTTCGAAGCTATTTGAGCCCCTTTTCGCTTTTAGATTCTGTAGGGTATGGAGTAGGCCTCGATTTTAGCGAATTGTCTAGCTTGCTTGTAATAGGATTACTCGGTAGGAAGTGGAACTGATTCAGCGTTTTAAACACGATTTAAAGGGGACACTGCACAAATAAGTTCGCATCAATACCCTTGGTTTGTGATATCCCACTTGACATAAGGACCCGTAATTTAACATGTTCTGCCCTACAGACACGGGTGGATTGAAGTTATCTCCCTACCATAATGTGTGCTGGTCAGAAACGCCACCCTCTCCCTTTGTGATGTTAGTCTCTCTTGCGTTTGTGCTATGTATGAATTTTCCTTTAAGCTCAAACATCTTATGAGTAGATGAGTGTTGTGAGGAAACCATTTAGGGATTCTTAAAAAATGCAATAATACACAAGTTTCAATAATGTTAGAATTACATTTACCATGTTTGAGTAAGGAAGGAAAATGAAAATAAAATATTAATAATAGAATAGTAATAATAATAAATCAGGTTCTGCGAATTTGGCAAGAATTTTGAATTGATTTTGAAGGAGGAAAGGAAGAAACTACGAAAATAGAAATAAAGGAAACGCGGAATACGTAAATCGCAAAATGAGTAATAAAAATAAAATGAAAAAATAAATTAATGTGTAAATAACTTAGTATTGCGGTAAGATATGGCTTTAAAATAAGTGTTTGTGCAGTCATAGTTTAGAGTGATGCTATAAAATTCTCAATTAAGTGTAAGAGATGATCAATGTCTATGAGTCGTATATGTATTCTGAAGATAAAACGAGTCTATGGGCTGGGTCATGGATCATAGTTGAGCAGGAGGTCAGGAATAACAGTCCATTTATTGCTTTGTAGAGAAATATTAGATTGTTCCTTAACCTACGGTGCCATAAAAGTTATAAAGAGAAGTACTTACATCTACTTGTGTAATCGAGAGTGGGGTCACCTCATAGCAGTTGGCGTGTGAAGCGTCTTTGAACATCTACTCTTATTTTGTCAGTGGTATTCATATTAGAGAAGATAAAAGGGCAGTATTCTAGGAAAGATCGTACACATATTTTATAAAGGTGAGCTTAGCCTCCGTTTTGAAGCGAGCTAGGTTCCTCACCTCACACCTTATGTACATTCCCCAGAATCACAATTGTAATTACTCTCAGAATGAGAACTTTCCAGTATCAACCCACCACATGAAGACAGCCTCCATATATAACAACAGTCGTAGCCACTTCCAGTTACGAGCATCAGACCCCTCTCATGCTCGCACTAGCGCAAATAGTTATAACAGAGGCTACAAGCTTAACCATCAAAACTGTCTTGCAGATAACAGTACACTTTACAATCAACATGTACCAGATTTTTTTGGAATAAGGCCCCTAGTTGCACCCCTGTTGAAGCATATAGCCCTAGTCATTTCAAACCAAGTGCGGAACATAAACTCACTTCCCCCGTACAGTTCGCATCAGAAAGTACTCCCACCCTTTCCTCCTGGATAAACTCCCCAAGCAACTTCACTAGCTCATTTGATACATATCCCAGTAACTCTAGCTATCAAAATACAGAGCTATTGAAAAAAGCTCAATCCATTACTTCAAACATACATCATTCACGCGAGGGTCATGACATCTTTAATCGAGATACTGTCACTCACTTTAACTTAGTAGGCCACTTGTTTAATATGTGTCTTATCAACGCTAGGTCGATCTGCAATTAAAAGACTGATTTAGCTCTGTTTGCTTCCATATATCAACCATCACGTATAATGATATCTGAAGCATGGAATAACAGTAATATTTCCGATCTAAGTATATCTCTTGATAACTACCTTCTATATAGAAGCGATAGATTGAAAGGAGGAGGCGGAGGATGACTTATTTATGCTCACTCTAGCTTAAACTCACTACTACTAAACAAACTGAAGGACTCGGTGTGGATTGTTTTAAAGCCATCAAATTCCATTACCTTACTTTTCGGCTGTATCTACCAGCAACCTAACTTGGCAATAGGTGAAATAGCAGTATTATCAGAGGTATTCACATTAGCATCATCCCTCCCATTCACAGGCAAGCTCATTTGTGGTGATTTCAACATGCCTGAAATTTCTTGGTTTCCAGTCAAAGCTCCGAAACGTTATGAATCATTTATTGACTGTCTAGAACTAGGACAGTGGACTCAGTATGTTAGTAGCCCTACCAGACATCAAAATATCTTGGACACCAAAAACAAATGCGCTGTAAGTTTTTTACAGTTCGGTATAGTTTATTGTGGAACAGGTTGCCAATACCTATCCGTAACTGTGACACCTTCACCAAATTTAAAAGTCTAGTAACTCTGTTACTAAACTCTAAAGAACTTCAACTATTCTATGAACTCCCGCCTACCAATGAGGCACTTTATTATGGACCGCCCAATATCTAGACGGAAAGAACTCCATTTTCGTTAGCTTGAATATAGCAAAACTAAAGAAAACATGCTTCATCCTCCCCCACTATTTATTGATTATTAACCATGGCCTTCCGCTCCTAACCCTCATTTTTGGTTTCCGAATTTCTCTAAAGGATAAATCCAAATTATTCTTCCTAAGTGTCGTGTCCTTTTATTTTTCTTATTACAAGTAGACAGATAACTCACTAATCTTATGGATGCTGACCAAATAAGGCCGATCAAAAGAAGCTCAAATGTCCTAAATTCTTGTGAGTTGTTCAATGTTTTGTTTTCCTTACCCTGAAAATTTTACAATATTCTATTTCATATCCTCTGGTTTGCTATTAGTCCTTACCATCTCATAACCACATATAATCTTACTTGTCTCCTATAACCTTCGCCATTAGTTATCTTCATAGTAGTATGATATATTAAATGGACATCTAACCCATAATACAAATGCTATTACCAACTGATTCGCTTGTAACATGGAACTTGTAGAGACAGTGTATTCCAACTATGGTCCTTGATTAAAGCAATATTCATGCTGACCACAAACGTAAGAGAGCCTAACATCATAAAAGGAGGGAGGGTGGCGTTACTGACCAGCAAACATGATGGTGGGGAGATAACATCAATCCACCCGTGTCTGTAGGGCAGAACATATTAATTACGGCTCCTTATGTCTAGTGGAATGTCACGAACCAACGGTATTGATGCGAAATTATTCATGAAAAATACCGCTTTAGATCATGTTAAAAAAAATCTAAATTGGTTCCATTTCCTACCGAGTAATCCTATTACAAGCAAGCTAGACAATTGGCTAAAAACGAAGCCCACTCTATACCCTATAAAATCTAAAAACAAAAAAGAGAGTTAAAACAGCTTCGAAAAAAGGGAAACAGCCATTTGTATCGGAATACTGTTTTCAGCACTTTATTTTATAATTACACAATTCTATACTTTCTTCTGCACTATCTTCATTTATACAGTTCCTTACACACTCATACCTTGTTAACACTTATTTTCTTTAAAACATTAGTATGCTCTTGCTTAATAAGCACTTCAGTAACAGACAAATAGACTAAATGGTTATACCATAATTATTCCTCCATGAATATTGTGTGCTCTGCTTTTCGTCCTTCCTTTTTCTTAC